CCATGAATTCACATGTATAAAAGAGGCCAAGCCAGAGACACAGGTGAGTGACGTGGACCAGAGGACAGAGGCGAGAAGAGACTGCATGCCGGTCTACAGATGCGGCGGCCCCTTGGAGCTGCCACTCATGTCCATCTTTTTGACTTTTCAGCAGAAGCCAAACATCTGGGTTTTTAGGTAAAAATCAACCAAAATATTGACCACTATATATATACTCATACACATATAGTCAATGTATACGAGTACGTGTGCACATATGTGCATATCTTTTAATCAATTTATTCACAGAAGCCAAAGGAAGCAAGGCTGTGGGCCACACAAGCCTCGTGAACCACCAACTGGAGATCCTTTCTAAACAGTCCTGAACCAGTGCCCCTGAAGTGGGTGTGGAGTGCCCTTCATTACCTTGGCTTCTGGTGCTTTGAGGTGGGGTGGCGCCATCTCAGAAGACCTTAAATCAGGCTTTTCCCCACCTTCAGATTATTGACATTTGAGCCAGTGGTAATTCTTTGCTGTAGGAGACTCTCCCATGCACTGTAGAATGTTTAGCAGCATCTCTGGCCTCTATCTGCTAGGTGTCAGCAGCACCTCCTAGTTGTAACAACCACAATGGTCTCCAGACATCACCAAGGTCACCCAGGTGGAGAGGGAAACTGGAGCCTCGGATATAAGTGAAGTATTTTAGTGAATTAACACACCTGCCCATGGAGATTGCAACCTATTCCAAGGATAAGACATGAATTAGGCTTCCAGCCAAGATGGAGGCATAGGTAGACACACTGTGCCTCCTTGCACAACCAAAAGAAGGACAACAACAAATTTAAAAACAAAAACAAACCAGTACCGACAGAAAATTGAACTGTATGGAAGTGGCTCTTCTTGGTTTAACAAACCAAGAAGTTAAAATAGACACATTCATCCAGACCGGTAAGAGGGGCAGAGTCGGGCAGCTGGGTGGAGAGGGGTCGCAGCACAAAGAGTGGTGGCACCAGGCAGTAAGGCATCCCGGCCTCGCAAGACCACAGTGGGCGGACCCTGGGTGCACAGGCGACAGCTGGCAGACCCCGGGTGTGGGGGTGGCAACCAGCAGACCCAGCAAAGCAGCGATTGTGAAGCAAGGCACTACTCACAACCCAGGATCCCATCGCCAGGAAATAGAGCCTTAGGGCACTGACTGAAAACACCTGTGGGGGGTTGAGGTGCCGGGAGAGACTCCCAGCCTCACAGGAGAGTTTGCGGGAGAGACCCACAGGATCCTAGAACATACACAAGCCCATCCACACAGGAATTAGCACCAGAAAGGTCCAGTTTGCTTGGGGGATGTGGGGGAAGTGACTGAAATCTGGCAGAGAGCAGAGCAAGTGCCATTGTTTCCTCTCAGACCCCTCCCCCACATACAGGGTCACAACCCAGCCACTGGGTTGACCCGCCTGGGTGAACACCTAAGACTCCACCCCTTACTATGTAACAGGCGTGCTGAGACAAAAAAAATGGCTCAAATGAAAGAACAGATCAAAGCTCCACAGCGAATACAACTAAGCAACCAAGAGATAGCCAACCTATCAGATGCACAGTTCAAAGCACTGGTGATCAGGATGCTCACAGAATTGGTTGAATTTGGTCACAAATTAGATGAAAAAATGAAGGCTACACTAAGTGAAATAAAGAAAAATGTACAGGGAAGCAATAGTGATGGAAAGGAAACTGGGACTCAAATCAATGGTATGGACCAGGAGGAAGAAAGGCATATCCAACCAGAAAAGAATGAAGAAACAAGAATTCAAAAAAAGTGAGCAGAGGCTTAGGAACCTCCAGGACATCTTTAAACATTCCAACATCCGAATTATAGGGGTACCAGAAGGGGAAGAGGAAGAGCAACAAGTGGAAAAGTTATTTGAACAAATAATACAGGAGAACTTCCCCAATCTGGCCAAGGAAATAGACTTCTAGGAAGTCCAGGAAGCTCAGAGAATCCCAAAGAAGTTGGATCCGAGGGGAAACACACCAAGGCACATCATAATTACATTAGCCAAGGTAAAAATGAAGGAGAGAATCCTAGAAGCAGCAAGAGATAAGGAGACAGTCACCTACAAAGGAGTTCCCATCAGACTGTCAGCTGATTTCTCAAAAGAGACCTTGCAGGCAAGAAGGGGCTGGAAAGAAGTATTCCAGGTCATGAAATGCAAGGACCTACACCCAAGATTGCTGTATCCAGCAAAGCTTTCATTTAGAATGGAAGGGCAGATCAAGTGCTTCTCAGATAAGGTCAAGTTAAAGGAGTTCATCATCACCAAGCCCTTATTTTATGAAATGTTAAAGGGACTTATCTAAGAAAAAGAAGGTAAGAAATATGAACAGTAAAATGATAGCAAACTCACAATTACTAACAACCACATCTAAAACAAAAAACAAAAGCAAACTAAGCAAACAACTAGAACAGGAACAGAACCACAGAAATGGAGATCACATGGAGGGTTATCAACAGGGGAGTGGGAGGAGGAGATGGGGGAAAAGGTGCAGAGAATAAGTAGCATAGACAGTAGGTAGAAAATAGACAGGGGGAGGGTAAGAATAGTATGGGAAATGTATAAGCTAAAGAACTTATAAGTGTGACACATGGACATGAACTGAAGAGGGGGAATGTTGTTGGGAGAGGGTATGCAGGGTGGAGGAGAATGAAGGGGGTGGGTAATGGGACAACTGTAATAACATAATCAATAAAAAATATATTTAAAAAAAAGAGCCAGGCAAAAGATAGATCATGAAGAACTTTGTATGTCAGAGGATCAAAAAAGGAAAAAATACTTTCTAGAGAAGGCTGAAAGTGTACAGACTCCATTGCAGTTTGCAGAGGGATGGGAAGACAAGAAATTGTGGACTGCTAGCACAGTCAGCTCTTTCCAGAAGTTTGTCTGTGAAGGAGGTAGGAGGTCATGTTATGTGGTGAGGGATGGGGAATTAGTTGTTGGCTGTTTTAAGGTGGGAGAGATTCGTACTTGTTTATAGAGGAAATAGTCTGGCTTTTGCATGTGTGTGAGATATTGTGTATGTCACAACCAGACAAGCACATCCCCACTGTGAAACATCTAGAAATGATGCATAAAATCAAGCAAACATCCTTTAAAATGCACAGCTGTGTTTCAAGAAAGTAAGGGGAATGCCCTGGAGTCACACACCAAGAGGAAGTTGAAAACCAGAGCTGTGTGAGCTGCTAGGTGGTTGGAGAGCTTGGCAGTGAAAGGGCTTGGGTTTTATGTTCACCTGGAGACTTGGAGAGGAGGCCTTGCCAGGGGGCACTGACCACAGAGACCCCAATATGAAGGTGACACGCTCAGTGAAAGAGCAGGCTAGAAAAAAATTTTTTTCCTGTCAGCCCAGGGAGCAAAAAGAACCTTGTCTGTCTCACCTGGAGACCCAGGAGCAAAAGAAAGTCTCGCCTGAGAGTTCATAACCAAAGGTTTGCTCTCACCTGGATTTGGGTCTCAAGTTTACACTCAAGTTCTGTGGTCTCAGAAACCCAAATAAAGTTAATAAATAATGTGGTCCAGCGTTGGTAATAGCCCCAACGCATCCTAGGCAGGAGCAGACTCAGAAGCTCTATGGACATTCCCTCGAACTGACCGCATGCATTCTCACCAATGAGGCGCTGCTGAAGCCGACTTCACAGCCCCTAAATAGAAAGCCTAAGAGGAAGCCATCTGTCATAAATGAGAGTGAGCACCTAGAACTCCAGAAAACAGAATGATTGAGTAAAGGACCATACAGTAAGTTTGTTTCAAATGCCTAAAGGCATAAAGGAAGGACTCACCACGAGAAAGTAGTAAGATGGTATCAGAAAGGAGAGGGAGAGGTCTAAAGTAAAGAGAAAGGAGAAAGGGTACAACTGATGCATCTCTCAGGCTACCCGCTTATTCCTTCTACTTACTTCGGGCTCCTGTTACATTCCAGGCCATGTTCTGGGTCTGAGAACGTAAAGGTGACTTTGGGGACAGCAGGTTGGACTCCACCTCAGGAAGATCACCTTCATCCATGCGTGGTGGGTGCATCTTTCATTTTACCCCATCCCGAGATGTTACAGCTAGAAAAGTCCCGATAGAGCATCTCGTTCAACTTTCAGCTCTCTTGGTGTACAGAGAAAGAACGTGAGGCCTAGTAACATAAAAATCACTTTTCTGAAGGCTCCAAGTGAGTGAGTGACAGAGCCAGATCGAGAGCTGGGGCCTTGTCTCCAGTGTCCCTTCCACACTGTTCTGCTTCTGCTGAGCACTTGGTGAGCCGGTGTCCAAGCTCTGAACACCGCATCTCTGTTCTGTTTCCCTGGTGGGCTGATCACTTCTCATGGGCACTCTCCCCGGAACCCTAGTCCTATCAGCTGATCCTGACAAGCAGTGACATAGCTACTCAGCTCAAGAGTGATAGAGGTGGAATGGGAGCCCTGTCTTGTATCAGCTATCCATCCCTCCTCATCTCACCCTCCTGTGCCCCACCCCGCCGCTAGAGAGACTGTGAGCTCCTTGAGGGCAGGGGCTAGGTCTGATTCCTCCCGCTCCGGGGCCTGGCTCAGGGGAGGTGTGAGGACCATGCACTGGATGAGCGCACCTGGGGAGAGGTCCCTCTGTCTAGAGGCCTTTCATTCCCCTGCTGCTCCCTCCTCTTCTGGCATCCAAGGGGTGAGCAGAAAGAGCTGAGTGTTGGCCTCTGCCCAGCAGTATTTCCCTGTGTGGGTGAACTTGGGAGGTCCCTGGCCAGCATTAAGTAGCGCAGCATTGCTGTTCCCTGTGCAGGACTCAGTACTTCTGGGGGAAGCCTCAGGGTAGCGCTAGAATGGCTAACACTGGCTGACTCACCCTGTCCTTTTTCAAGAAAGATCAGTGCCTCCAGCAGGGAACGTCTACTTAGAACTTAGTATCTTTGTTTACAGTGTACTTATTTTCATGTTTTATCTTCTATTTATGGCAAGTGATACTGGTTTTCCATTTACAGAGGTGATGCAAAAAAGATTCCTTTTAAAATAAATTTATTAAGCAAATAGCAAACCAATTTAAAGAAAAATATAAAGTAAATAATAGTACAGGTGGTAAACTGATATGGCAAAGACCCTACTATTCATGACTGCAGCTTGGAGTCAGACGTCAGGGAAATGGAAACGCCTTTGCCTCTCCCCATCCCCCACCCCCACCTGTGCTCCCAAAGAGGTAGCCAGCTGATACAGATGGCTACAGGGCCAAGGACATCTGGCGGCTCCATGGCTCCATTTCTCCGTGGGAGAATGTGGGTTATAAGTAAGCCTGCCTGGGGGGAAAATCTGTCTCCCAGGAACACTCCAGCAAGCTGGGAGGGCAGAAAGCCAGAGGCGGCATCCTGGGAGCTGCCCTGCCCTGGGATGGCGCTCCTTTCTCCATCAGATCAACCTCTTACCTCCTTGGCCCATGCCTCCCTCACCATCAGGGGTCCCAAGCCCCCAGGGAAACTGACCAGTAGGGTCCGTGGCCTATGAGGAACTGGGCCGCACAGCAGGAGGTGAGCAAGCAAAGCTTCATTCTGTTCCGCATCGTTTGCATTACCACCTGAGCTCCACTCCGCCCCCCTGCCCCGCCCCCCATCTGTGGAAAAATTGTCTTCCACAGAACTGATCCCTGGTGCCAGAAAGGCTGGGGACCGCTGCTCACCATGGAGGGGTCAGATTCGGAGGGCTGGGACGTGGCAGCTCCCAGAGACAGGATGGGCAGAGGAGCCCACTGGTTTCCTTTGGCTCTGGGTCCCAGCTGAAGGTGAGGGAGGCCCTCTCCAGCTTGTGTCCCCAAGTTCACTGCTGTGAGCTGGGGATCAAAGTCACAGTTCGTAAAGAATAAGATGCTCCTTTGCCTGGTCTTGACATCTCTTTATGTGTTTTCCTGGAGGGATTATTTCTGGCTCTGGAATCTGGATGCTTGTCATCTCCTGCTGCACAGCTGACGCGCACCTCGACCACACAGTCTGTTCGTCAGCATCCATGCGACCCCTTCCCTCTGACATTGGCACCTTAGATGCACAGTGAAGGACGGTGGAAGCCACTGCAATGATGCTATGTCACGCCTGTCTTGTACTTGTACGGTGAGTTCTTAATCAGAAATGTGATCTTGGCAGCTTCGGGCCCAGAGTCATTGGCATCTCCATTTCACTGCACCGCAGCCGCTCCCCCTCCCCCAGGCGCTGAGCAGAGGCAGCTCTGAGATTCCCTGCAGCACAGGCTCTGTCCACACCCAGCCTGCGGAGACCCAGGTCCAACTCCATTGAAATCCAGATGTGAAAGGCCTGGGGCATTCTTCCCTGGCCCCAACTGTCAGCTGGGCTCCCAGGCTGGAGCCTCAGATTCTTAAGGTCCCTCTGAGGTTGGGCCTTCCTCAGAGGTCTCTAGGAAGCCAGTCCTCTAGGCCCTGGGGACTCAGAAACCCACACTAGTTCGGCCTTCACGCCTCCAGAAAGCAGAGATCTGTTCCAGGGTGACCCGAGGCTGGAGGCCCCACTCTGGATCAGGGCTACCTGTCCGCTGCCTTTGGGCCTGGGGGCTCCCCACATTTGCGCTGGACTCTAGCCTCTGTTCAGGCTCAGCCCAGCTCACCAGGCCTGGGGCACGGGGTCTTCCTTCCCAGGCCTGGGGCCCCCAGAAGGTGCTGCGGGCTGGGACTTTATATGGGATCTGGGGGACTAAGGAGCTAGGAGGGGAGTGTGGAGTTGAAGGGGCAGGTGGGGCAGTTGCTTGGGCCTCCAAGTTGCCCCCGAGGATAGGAGAATCTGGGGCTTGGTCCATCAGCAGGGGGACCCCAGAGCCATACCAGTCCTCAGAGCGCTCTCGGGGGGTGCCGGTGGGCTCAATCCACAGCTCTCCCCCAGGGCGCCAGACCAGGGTGGGTGCGTGGGTGCTGGAGTCTGGCTGCAGAGAACGGCGGAACAGACGCTCAGCCAGCACTGCCGTGGTGAGGAGGAAGAGGGCGGCCAGGGCAGCCAGAGCCAGCATGATGGGGATGCAAGGCCCACAGGGCAGTGGGGGCCATGAGGCCAGCTCCGATGCAGGGGGCCCCTCCATGTGCCCCGAGGGCTGCTCTGGAGTCCAGGGCATCTGCAGAGACAGGAGTCGGGAGAGGAAGCACAACTAGAGAGGGGAAGCGGCAGCAAGTGCCCAGACAAGATGGAGTAGCGAAGCAGGAGTAGCGAAACAGGTCAGGGGCTCGGAGTCTGGCCTGAGAAACAGTCCCGCGGGGCGGGGCGTCAGGAGGACACCAGGCCTGCGGCCTGGCCCTCCCATTCGGAACCCCCAACCCCCTCGTAGAAGCCCTATTTCCCTCCCTCCCCAGGGGCTTCGGACAAAGCGCAAAGGGTCCCAAGGGTGTCTTTCCCCCCATCTCCTCAGGTCTTGCTGGGCCTAGAGAAGTGGTGGTACTGTTCCCCAGGGATTCCCACCTACAGTGGCTGGCTTCGGTCTTCTGTCTTCAGGCTCCTCTCTCCCTTCGGAGCACCTCTTCCCTGTGCCTGTGGGAGAGCGCAGAGAAGCGCCTCAGATGAAGGCGGAAGGGAGGGCACCACCTGTTGCTGGGCAACTGTGCCCCAACTCCCCTGCCCCAAGACTGTTTCTAAGGCAACCTGGGGGATGTGGTCACTGTGGTGAGCAGGCGGGTTCCTGGCAACAGAGGTGGGGCCGGAATGGGCAGTGGTTCTGTTGAACTTGGTGTCACCCCATAGTCAGGCCCCAGAATACTCACCCAGAGGCCAAGCAAGAGGAGACAGAGACTCTGTCCCACCCATGTCCGTCCCCCACTCCTCCCACCATGGCACCAAGGCACCTCCCTCGACCTGCTCTTTCCACTGCCCCGGCCCTGTCCCGCCCACTGAGCCCTGCCAGACCTGCTCTTGCCATCCAGCCCGCACATGCCCTCCTGCTTCAGCTAGCCTCCTCCACTCTTTTCATGGACATACATCTCCATGTCTTCAGACCATTTAACTCCAGTTTTTGTTAGAAAATATCTAGCCCTGGCTGGTGTGGCTCAGTGGATTGAGTGCTGGGCTGTGAACCAAAGGGCCGCTGGTTTGATTCCCAGTCAGGGCACATGCCTGGGTTGCCGGCCAGGTCCCCAGTGGGGGCATGTGGGAGGCAACCGCACATCAGTGTTTCTCTCCCTCTCTTTCTCCTTCCCTTCCCCTCTCTCTAAAAATAAATAAAAATCTTTAAAAAGAAAAAATTGAGAGGTGAAGCTTGGGTAACAATAATATCAGGCCTCTGGGAAGAGTCCAGGGTCAAAAACAGTCTTGGGCATGTCTCCAAGACTCCGAGCATTGGCCAGCTAGGCCCCTTTCTCCTGCTGCTGAGGGTGGGAGGAGCCTGGGTGGGGGCACAGTGGAGTGTCAACAGCTCCTGGACTGGAGTCCTATCAGATTGTTTAGTTTGACTCATTCACTGACAGATGACAAGTAAGCCCCAAATAAGGGAGGTGTCATGTCCAAAGTCACATAGCACATGTACACAGGGATGGGGGCAGCATAGATAGAAATTTCTGGTCTGGCAAGCTCCCTGAATGTAATAATACAACTCTTACTGAGTATTAGTATTCTGTTTTGCAAAATGACAGCCTTTTAATGTGAAAGGCTACAAAACTATGTTGAAATGTTAGTGTCTCACAGAAGGGGATCACAGGGGCTGTCTGACTCAGATTGCTCTGCCCTGGCGGTTTTGAGGAAAGGGCCGGAAGGGGCCCAGAATGCGACAGGGGTGGGTGTTGGTGGAAAGGAAGAGCCCTGTGGCTCTGGGCCTTACAACATGCAGGAACCTGATGAAACTAGAATTTGAGGAGGTTATAAGCCTTAAAATCTGAACTTAATATCACTGAACTGAACACTTAAAAATGATTAAGACAGTAAATTTAATGTTATATGTATGTGTGTCAATAAAAAAGTATTTTAAAAAGTCTATATAAATAAACCTGAAAATTGTTATGTATGGTCTCTTTCAATTAGTCTTTCTTTCAATAAAAATAAAAACACTAGAAGGGTAAACATTATTAAAAACCAGAAAGATCAAACATGATTTTTCTGTTTCCAAGAGTCAAACTGGGTGTTTTGATTCTTAACAGTTTTTTATGACTTAAAAACAAAAAAAACCCCCAAAAGCTTAGCCCTGGCTGGTGTGGCTCAGTGGATTGAGTGCCGGCCTGCAAACCAAAGGGTCGCCAGGTGGATTCCCAGTCAGGGCACATGCCTGGGTTGCTGGCCAGGTCCCCGGTGGGTGCACATGGGAGGCAACCACACATTGAGGTTTCTTTCTCTCTCTTTCTCTCTCCCTTCCCCTTGCTCTAAAAATACAGAAACAAAATCTTTTTTTAAAAAAAGCTTAAAACATTTTAACTAGTTCCTCAAAAAATTAAACATAGAATTACCACATGATCCAGCAATTATACTCTATGTATGTACAAAAGAACTGAAAGCAGAGACTCAAATAGATATTCCCACAGCAGTGTTCACAAGCCAAAAAGCTGAGACAACTTAAATGTTCATCAGTGGACTCATGGATAGACAAAATGTCACACACACACACACACACACACACACACACACACACACACACAAATATTATTCAGCCCTAAAAAGAAAGGAAATTCTGACACATTATAAAACATGGATGACCCTGTAAGACATTATGCTAACTAAAATAAGCCAGTCACAAAAGACAAATCTGTATGATTCTGCTGATATGAGGTCCCTAGAGTCGTTGAACTCATAGAGACAGAAAGTAGAATGGTGGTAGCCAGGGGATGGGGGAGTGGGAGAAAGAGCAGTGATTATTTAATGGGTAGAGTGTCAGTTTGAGAAAATAAAAAAGTTCTGGAGATGGACAGTTGCGATGGTTGCACGATTATGCAAATATGCTTAATGTCACTGAACTGTCCACTTATAAATCATTAAAATGGTAAATTTTATGTTTTGTATATTTTACCACAATAAGAAATTTAAATAATACTATAGAACATGGAAACATTGAAAAGAAAATTATTCCCCATAATCTCCTTCCTCCCCAATAAACCTGTGTTTTTTAAAGTTTTAAAAAAGATTTTATTTATTTATTTTTAGAGAGAGGGAATGGAGGGAGAAAGAGAAGCAGAGAAACATCAATGAGTGGTTGCCTCCCATGTGCCCCCACCAGGGACCTGGCCAACAACCCAGGCATGTGCCCTGACTGGGAATCATACCAGCAACCCTTTGGTTCTCAGACTGGTGCTCAACCCACTGAGCAACACCAGCCAGGGCAAAGCTGTATTTTTTTTTAATAGGCTCTGCAGTGTGTATATCAGAACCCAGGTGTCCTGACTTCCAGGTTTCTTCCCCCATCCCCCACCCAAGAATTTCTGAAAAAATGGAATCGGGATGCTACTCAAGGAGTCTATGAAACAGAAAAGTCTCTGGGACAGAAATGTAGAAAACAGGTCTTGGAGGGGGTGTGTTCTCAGTTGTGAGGTGGGTGCTCCAGGAGCCAGGTGTTCAGGGATGAGCTTGGCTGTGATTGGAACCAGTGAGAAAAAAATTTCTTTGTAAACTAGGCAGGTGCCTGTGTGAGGCTGAAGGCAGAGTTCTGTCCTTGGTGCTATCTGTTCCTAAGTCTGTGTGGTGGTTTCAAAACATGTCTGCAAATTCCTTGACACTCCCATCCTAAGACTGGGTCTCATCCTTGCCTCGTGGATATAGGCTGGCCTTAGTGACTCACTCCAGTGGAATATGACAGAAGTGACAGCTTGGCTTTTGAATCTGGCCTGGGCACACTCCACCCTGCCCCTTGATGAATGCACTTAGAACCCAGTTGTCATGTGTGAGGAAGCCCAAGACACCTGTAGGGGCCCTGGTTAAAGTCCTAGCTAGAGTCCCAACTGACAGCCCACTACCCAAACCCTTAATGAGCAGCTCTTCAGATGACCCCAGCCCCAGCCTTCCCACCACTTCAGCTGATGCCGAGTAGAGCAGAGGTGAGCTAACATGATCTTGGTTGTAGGCCTTTGTTTTTCATCACTTGAATATTTCCTGCCAATTCCTTCTAGCCTGCAAAGTTTCTTTTGAGGAATCAGCTGACAGTCTTATGGGAGCGCTCCAGTAGGTAACTAACTGCTTTTCTCTTGCTGCTTTTAAGATTCTCTCTTTATTTAACCTTTGGCATTTTAGTTATGATCTGTCTTGGTGTGGGCCTCTTTGGATTCATCTTGTTTGGGACTCTCTGTGCTTGTTTGACTTGTATGTCTATTTCCTTCACCAAGACAAGGAAATTTTCTATCACTATTTTTTTCAAGTAGGTTTCAATTTCATGTTCTTTCTCTTCTCCTTCCAGCAGCCCCATGATGCAAATGTTTGCATGCTTGAAACTCCTTACACTATGCTCATTTTTTTGGATTCTTTTTTTCTTCTTGCTGTTCTGATTAGTTGTTTTTTTGCTTCCTTGTATTCCAAATGGCTGATTTGATTCTCAGTTTCATCCACTCTACTGTTGATTACCTGTAAATTGTTCATTTCAATTAGTGTATCCTTCATTTTTGACTGGATCTTTTCTATGCTGTTGAGGTTCTCACTAAGTTCACTGAACATCCTTATAATCAGTGTTTTGAAATCTGCACCTAGTAGATTGTTCTGCTCCATTTTGTTTAGTTTTTTTGTGTGTGGAGTTTTGTTCTGTCTTTCATTTGGGCCATGCTTCTTTGTCTCATCATTTTTTCAGCCTCTATGTATTTGTTTCTGTGTATTAAGTAGAGCTGCTACATCTCCTAGGCTTGGTAGCTTGACCTACAAGGTGTCCTGTAGGGTCCAGTGCCACAGCCCTCCCTATTACCCAAGCTAAATACTCAAGGTGTGCTCACCACATGAGCTGTGTACACCCTCCTGTTGTAGTTGAACCTTGATTGTTCTTGGCATGTCCAAGGTCAGCCACCACCTGTGTTTCATCCGGAGTCATACACCATAAGTTACAAAGTGATCTGCTGATGGCTGGTACTTGTCCTGGGCTTACAGGTGACCTGGCAAGGCCAATCTGTGAACCATGACTGGTTTCTGTTAGTGCTGGGCCTAGGGCAACTTAGTGAAAGGTACGGGGCTTGCTGAAGCCAGACACTGTTTGTTTTGAGAGAATTTAGAAAAATCTGAAGCATGGGCCAAGATAAGCCGTTCATGTGGAAAGCCACTGAACAGCTTGGGTGGGCCTGAAAGTTGGGTGGGGTCAGGCTGCAGGGAATCACCAGGGTGGGGCAAACAGTGTAAACCAGGTTGTTGGAGTGTCAGATATGGTGCCCACCTGTGGGCTCTGCGGGGAGAGGGCTCAGAAAAGAAACAATGACTTCCGCCAGCACTTCTATCTGGGAGAAAGCTCCCCACCCCCACAGCTCTCACTCTGATGCCAGAAAATTCAGTTCCTTCCTATATGTCTCTGATGCCTTTCAATCTTCTGTCTCTGCACTGGAGCTCAGAAGGAGTGAGTATGAGTAAGTCTGTACATGGGCCCTTTAAGAGGAACTACCTGGGACCCGAGAAGTTTCTGTCTTCCACAGCCTCAATCCCTGTTGGTTTTTACAGCCAGAAGTTATGGGGACTTATCATCTTGGCACTGGAACTGTGGGCTGGGAGTCCTGGTGCGGAGCTGGGACCCCTTGCTCCTGAGATCTCCCTGCCAATTTTTATGTGCCACAAGTGGATTAAGACCAGCCTGTTCTCTGTCTTTGCCCTTCCCACCAGTCTTGATATGGTTTCTTTGTTAATTCTCTAGTTGTAGGACTTCCATTCAGCTCGATTTCTACAGTTCTGAATGATGGTTGTTCTATAGTTTAGTTGTAATTTTTATGTGGTTGTGCAAGGAGGTGAGCCATGTTTACCTATGCTGTCATCTTAACAGGAAGTGCACATTTCTTTTTTGTATTGCATTTTAATATATTTGTGTAATATTTCATTAAAAAAATCTCTTTTACAAAAGCCATCTCTCTCTCTAAGCTTATTTATGTCTTTCTGAACTAATGACATTATGACCTCCCAGTTTGCTGACCTAGAAATGTGTGGGATAACCTGGAATCTTTCCTCTTTCCTACCCCTTTCCCCAGCCAACTGGTCCAGGTGACTGTATATGTAAAGTGCTCTGAAAATGTATCTGCTCCTTCCGATCTCCACAGCCACCACCTTATTCAACAGCTTCTGGCATAGTTTCCCTTACTCTCATTTCTTCCCCATCCTGATTATTTCCAGGTTAATCTTTTAAAAAAATAGTTCTGATCCTATCACCTTCCTGCTTTAAATTTTTTAAAAAATATATTTTATTGATTATGTTATTCAGTTGTCCCATTTTTTCTCCCCTTTATTCCCTTCCACCCTGCAACCCCCTCCCAACAGCATTCCCCTCTTAGTTCATGTCCATGGATCGAACATATAAGTTTTTTGACCTCTCCATTTCCTATACTATCCTTAGCCTCCTCCTGTCTATTTTGTACTTACCATTTATGCTTCTTATTCTCTGTACCTTTTCCCCCTGTCCCTCCTCCCCCTCCCCACTGATAACCCTCCGTGTGATCTCCATTCCTGTGGTTCTGTTCCTGTCCTAGTTGTTTGCTTAGTTTGCTTTTGTTTTTAGGTTCAGTTGTTGATAGTTGTGGGTTTGTTGTCATTTTACTATTCATAGTTTTCATCTTCTTTTTCTTAGATAAGTCCCTTTAACATTTCATATAATAAGGGCTTGGTGATGATAAACTCCTTTAATTTTATTTTATCTGGGAAGCACTTCATCTGCCCTTGCTTTCTAAATGATAGCTTTGCTGGATAGAGCAATCTTGGATGTAGGTCCTTGCCTTTCATGACTTGGAATACTTCTTTCCAGCCCCTTCTTGCCTGCAAGGTTTCTTTTGAGAAATCAACTGATAGTCTTATGGCAGGGGTGTCAAACTCATTTTCACCAGGGTCCACATTAGTCTAGCAGTTGCCTTCAAAGGG